TCTCTGTTTCTTTCCTTTCCTTTTCCCTTTCTCCTTTCCTTTTCCCTTTCCCCTTTCTCCTTCCCTTCTTTCTTCCTTTTATTTTTTCTTCCTCCTTTAATCTTTCCGTTCAGCCATCTCCCTTCTCTTCCCTTTTCCCTTTCTCTGTTTCTTTCCTTTCCTTTTCCCTTTCTCCTTTCCTTTTCCCTTTCCCCTTTCTCCTTCCCTTCTTTCTTCCTTTTATTTTTTCTTCCTCCTTTAATCTGTCCTTTCAGCCATCTCCCTTCTCTTCCCTTTTCCCTTTCTCTGTTTTTCTTTCCTTTCCTTTTTTCCCTTTCTCCTGCCCTTTTCCCTTTCCTTTCCTTCCCTTTCCCCTTTCCCCTTTCTCCTTCCCTTCTCTCTTCCTTTTATTTTTTCTTCCTCCTCCTTTAATCTGTCCTTTCAGCCATCTCCCTTCTCTTCCCTTTTCCCTTTCTCTGTTTCTTTCCTTTCCTTTTCCCTTTCTCCTTTCCTTTTCGCTTTCCCCTTTCTCCTTCCCTTCTCTCTTCCTTTTATTTTTTCTTCCTCCTCTTGTAATCTTTCCTTTTAGCCATCTCCCTTTTCCCTTTCTCTGTTTCTTTTCTTTCCTTTTCTTTTCCCTTTCTCCTTCCCTTCCCACTTTCTCCTTCCCTTTTCGCTTTTCCCTTTCTCCTTCCCTTTTCCCTTTCTCCTTCCCTTCTTTTTTTTCTTTTTCCCTTTCTCCCTCCCTTCCCTTCTCTCTTCCTTTTATTTTTTCTTCCTCCTCTTTTAATCTTTCCTTTTAGCCATCTCCCTTTTCCCTTTCTCTGTTTCTTTTCTTTCCTTTTCTTTTCCCTTTCTCCTTCCCTTCCCACTTTCTCCTTCCCTTTTCGCTTTTCCCTTTCTCCTTCCCTTCCCTTTTCCCTTTCTCCTTCCCTTCTTTTTTTTCTTTTTCCCTTTCTCCCTCCCTTCCCTTCTCTCTTCCTTTTATTTTCTCTTCCTTCTCCTTTAATCTGTCCTTTCAGCCACTTTTCTTCCCTTCTTCAGACACATACTTCCCTTCCTCCTCTCCTCTCCTTTCTCTTCCTTTCCTTTCTTCTCCTTTCTCTTCCTTTTCTCTCTTTCCCGCCTCCTCCTTTTCTTTTCTTCCTCCTCCTTTTCACCTTTCCTTTCCCCCGCCTTCTTCTCCTCCCAGGTCAGTGTGGCTTCCCCTCATCCTCCCCTCGCCAACTGCTCACCCGCTCTCCTCTGTTCCTCTTGCAGATGGTGCCCAAGCCCATCGCCCTGGAGCCCTGTTTCGGCAACAAAGCGGCAGTCCTTTCAGTATTCGTGAGGTTGCCGAGGGGCCTTGGCGGGATCCCTCCACCTGGGCAGTCAGGTAAGTACTCCTGGTTCCCCTTGCAGCCGTGGGCCCCTCCCCTTCCTCAAGATCCCTTGGGACGTCACTCATGATACAATAATACAATACAATAGCAGAGTTGGAAGGGACCTTGGAGGTCTTCTAGTCCAACCCCCTGCCTAGCCAGGAAACCCTATACCAGTGATGGCGAATCTTTTGTGGCTCGTGTGCCAAAAGCGGTGGGAGCACGGGGGGGTCGTGCCACACCCACAATGCTATGCGCATGATCCCAGCGCGCATGCATGCATGACCAGTGTTTCCCCCCCCATTTTTGATGTGCTTTTTTCGCCCTCCCCAGGCTTCAGAGGCTTTGTAGGAGCCTGGGGAGGGTGAAAACAGCCCTCCAGAGCCTTCAGGAGGTTCCCTGAAGCCTCCGGAGCCCGAAAAATCGGCCCTTTGGGCAAACCAGAAATTCGGGAATGGACTTCCGGTTTGCTCATAGGGGCGGTTTTAGGGCTCTGGAGCCTTCAGGGGACTTCCGAAGGCTTCCCTGAAGGCTCCCGAGGGTAAAAAACGACCCTACAAGCAAACTGGAAGTGATCCCTCAAAGAATTGAACCTTCTACTTCTCCGCTTCTGAGCTGATCAGAAAGTCGGAGTGAACTGCTATTTAAGAAGGTCAGGTAGTCCTCGACGTATGACCACAGCTGAGCCTGTAATTTCTGTCGAGCTTTGCTGTGCTGGGGGATTCTGGGAGTTGAAGTCCACAAGTAGCCACTGTTGCGAAACCATATTCGGGAGTCCGTAGCTCAGGGGTGTCAAACTGGATTTCTTTGAGGGCCAGATCAGCATTGGAGGGGGGGAGGGGGAGAGACGGGACGGACAGCAGATGGGACAGATGCCTCCTGCAGTACCCTGCCAGCCAAAACAGGGCATAGGGGGAGGGGCCTGCTCACTTCAGGACTGGCCCATCTTCCTCCCCAATCTCCCCACTGTCCGAATCTGCTGCCAGCTCCACTGGCGGGCCACAGCATGCATTGAGTTTGACACCCCTGGCATAGCTGGTCTGCAACCTTCTCTGTGTGTGTCTGTATGTTCTTCTTCGCCCAGGTCTCGCAGTTGCCAGCGCGTTGGTGGACATTTCACAACAGATGCCCATCACCTACAAAGACAAGTCGGGAGTGGTACGAAATAGGAAACAGCAGCCTCCAGCCCAGCCTGGGACCTGTATTTGATGCATGGACATCAGAACTGCCTCTTTTAAACCCAAGGTTGGCCCTCGGAGAAAGGACCTCTTGTTTTTGTTTTGTTTTTTGTTTCGAAAGGCCCCCTGGGTGCAGAGGAGGCCTCAAAGCACTTGAGAGAACATCCAGACTTCCTTCTTGGCGTCGGCGCCGCCGCCTCGGTTGGCTCCGTTCGGCTCCCGCTCCGTCCTAAGATCCACCCAATCCCGCGAACGCCGGGTGGCTCCATCGTTTTCCGGTTGCTCCCCTTCGTCGGTTGTAGACCTCCCGTGGCATGTCCTTCCGCTGACTTCTCCACCCACAAAGGTTGGCATCAACCAGGAAGAAGCCTAAAAAAAAATGAACGGTTTATGGAACTCAACTTTTTCCCTCCGGGTTGCGTCAGAAAGAGCGTAGCAGCCAACGCCGGTCAGTTCTCTGCCCTCGGCCGCTACAAGATTTCAGACGAAGCTGTCTTAACTTCTCGGAAAACCCAAGGTCTCTATTTATTTCTTCTAAGAACAGGCCTTGGCCTTGCATCAATGTGGTAGCGTTATTTTTCTCCAAGTCAAAGTATTAAAATTCGGGGCGCAGCAGCCCAAATGTACGGTCGAACTCTTACCCCTTGTTTCCCTTTAAAAAACGAGAAAAAAAAAAGATATACTATTTCCGGAGGGTATTTTTTGTCCCCCGATGTGGGCTTGTGTAGCGACGGACACCTTCACCCATGTCCGACGGGGTTTTAAAAAGATCTAGGAAAAGCATGGGATTAACGCCGTGAGGTTTTGCACACGCCCCGTGTTCTTTTTTTTTTTTTAACTTGGCTAACTGTATTCGGGGGAGAAGCGCAGCGACGGATGGACGAGAGACAGACGGTAACGCCGGAGCAGAGCCGGGTGGGTGGAAGGGGCAGAACGGCTTGTATGTTCTGACCATGGCTGCCAACGCGGTGACTTTCCCCCCTCTTTGGCAGCTGCTATCTCTTTCTCTTCGGTTGTTCGGCTTCCTTGCCCAGGTTCAGCTTGAAATAGCTCCTGGGGGCTCTGAAGACCCCTGAGTCATCCCCTCACACGCACACGACCCCACCCCACACACACAATGCACCCAGAACAACTGGCTTACGTAGTGCAGGCCCAGGGTAATGAGCCAGAGGAAGGACCCACAGGTGGGGCTCTTGACTGGCACCTCAAGAAAAATAATGCAGCCGCTATTATTCCCCAGGGATCCCTTGGGATAATCCTTGGATATGGGTCGTTACTGGAAAACCTGTTGAAAACTATCTCCCTTTCTTTTCCATCACGGCGGCCTCCGGGCCTACTGGAGACCGAGATCCTCTATTAATTATTTGTCAGCAACTTTACAAGTTGCAAGTCCCGGAGCAGGAAATGCTGGTTTCTTTTGGATGCTGGCTTAGCAGTAGTTGAAAGCATCAAATCACTGAAAGGGGGTGGCACCGTTTTTTTCTTGCTGGCGCCATACCTCAAGGGGGGTGGTGTGTTTGGAAGAGAGCAGCCAAGTTTCCAAAATGGAGTGAGAGACACTGCCCCAGCCTGTCCCGCCCCACCGGTGTGGCGTTTCCCTCCACTCCAGAGCAGCCGCCGGTGCTACACCGACCGAAGACGGGCGTGCAAATCCGACAGGCAGCGATGAGCAAACATCGGTGTCCCTATTGCCACAACGTCCTGTTTGTGCCAAGCTCTCCACCTCTCTTTCTCCCTTTCTCTCTCTCTCTCTCCCTCTCTCGCCATGCATGCACGTAAACACGCACACCGTGAGAACCGGTTCTCGCGCTCCGTTTTATACCGTGACAGTTTGCCGCGGGAGCCGTGTCGAGCGAGATGGTATCAAAAAACTGAGGGATGGGGCGAAATTGCTCGGCCGCAGCCAATCTTACAGGCTCGAGGTGAAGGCCCTTCCTCAAACGTAGCAGTGTATAATAGAGGTTTTTTTTAAAAAAATAATAATAATAGGAAATTTGGGTGAGGGGAGGGGGCACTAAAAGATTTTCGGGCTGTTTCACCGGAACCAAATTGTTCCCGTTTCGTGACCCGCCATGGACTTCCTCAATTTGGGTCAACGAGCCAGGAAAGTACGGCAGTTTTGCATATTGCTGAATCTGTATGCACGGGAGTCCTGCAGAACTGGAACCAATGTATAATTAAAAAGCATCTCTTCGTCGCCCACCTCCCTTTTCTCTCTCTCTCCCCTAAAGCGCTGAATCCAATGCATTGTCCCCACCAAGCCGACGTCTACTGAGTGGGAATCGGGTCTTGAATGGCTGAGCGCTTGATAACGAACCCAGGGTGGTCCCAATTCCGCTCGCTCTCCCAGGAGGAGCCGGTTTGCCGCTTCCTGGCCCACTGGTCGGTCCAGGAGCTCCAATCCTTTTCAGGAGAGACGATCCAAATGCCTCTTGCCCCGGGCCGTGATTATTTTTACTTGCGCCTTTGAGGGGGTGAGAGAAATCATCGGGTTTCTTTCCTCCTCCTCCTCCTTGGATTTGGGCTGGCGGAAAAAACAAAATTCAGCCTTGAGCAGAAATGATTTTTAGACACGCCCAAAGTGCTCCTCTTCTCTTCTTTTTTTTACCCCTGGTTCGCCGCGCACCGACAATGTAACCAGGCGCCTTCCACACACACAGCCGGTTCGGATGGATACCACTATATATATAATGGGTATGTGTGTATATATATATACCCAGAACTGGAAACAGGGCCAATTCAACCTTACTCATCCGTGGACCTTGTGTTTGTTCAGTCCTGAGCAGAACAATCTTGGTGGGGAGCAATCTTGGTGGTATCTGACCTAGGGACCATTTAAAGCAGGGGTCTCCTGGCTGAGGAACTCTGGGAGTTGAAGTCCACAAGTCTTCAAAATTGCCAAGGTTGGAGACCCCTGCTTTAAACTCAATTGACCCCAAAGCTTCGCCAAAGCGTAAATTGCCAGCTTAATTGGAAAGAGGCCACCGGAGCCATCCTGTCGAGTCAGCACCCCTGATCCCAACTTGCAAACACTTCCCTTGGTTTAAAAGAAGAATATATATATATATATATATATTCTTCTTTTAAACCAAACCAATATATATATATATATATATATATATATATTAGAGAAAAACAGCCCACTGAGCATAACGCTACTTTGGCATCTGCAACAAAATGCTTAAAAGCATTTGTTTCTGNCCTAACCCTAAACCTAACCCTAAAACAAACCCCTAAACCTAATCCTAACGCTTACCTTAATTGAAGTCAGCTTTCTGCCGCGGAGCCGTTTTAAAGCGCCCTTCTGTTGCCGCGGCGGTGATGACGCGTGGTGATGACGTCGTGGCTTTAGAGCCGTGATTTTAACACCGCGATTTTGACCAGCGCGGTTTTGTCGTGCCACGCAAGAAGTTCTCCTAAGGGGGCACGATGGCTTAACAGTTAAAGATGATGAGCTTGTCAATTGGAAAGCTGACAGTCCAAGTTTGAGACCTGAGCACCATGTGATGGGGTGAGCTCCCGTTATTTGCTCTAGCTCCTGCCAACCTAGCAGTTCGAAAGCATGCAAACACGAGTAGATAAATAGGTGGGAACATGGGTGGGAATATAACAGCATTCTGTGCACCTCGGCATATAGTCATGCTGGTCACATGATCACAGAAGTGTGTTTGGAAAACACTGGCTCCCTGAGCTAGGAAAAAGAGACAAGCATCGTCAGAGAAACCCTTGGAAAAAAGTATCTGACAGCAAGATTTCAAATTACCTCCCATCCTAGTCCTTAATAGCCACTATTGGGGGTGGGGGGGGTCATACATGAAGTGATCCTTAGTTTCTTGTAATAATAGAGTAGGGTAGAGTAGAGTAGAGTAGAGTGGAGTGGAGTGGAGTGGAGTGGAGTGAAATGGAATGGGACGGAACGGAATAGAATATTTTTTTTATTGGCCAAGTATGATTGGACACACAAGGAATTTGTCTTTGCCGCATAGGCTCTCACTGTACATAAGAAGAATAAAATATATTCATCAAGAATAAAAAGATACAACGCTTACTGATAGTCAAGGTTATTAATAAGCTATCAAATTGTACTAGGAAACAAATAAAAACAATATAAATTGAAAGACACAAGCAATATGGTTACCATATTTTTCGGAATATTAGACGCACCTTTCCCCCCCCCCCCCCCCAAGAGTGTGGAAACGTTGGTGCATCTTATACACCGAATACAGCCAATTTTGGCCTCCCAAAGCCCTGCCCCCGCATCCAATTTTTGTGAAAAATTTGCGGGGAAA